GTCAAAGGAAGAAGCATTACGAGCACACAGTGTAAATAATAGATCTGCGGTACTTCCTGGACTTAGTACATCACTGAATTAGTAATGTGCATGGTTAAGAGGTTGATGCTTAGGGCAAGGACGCCCCCTCCTGGAGCTGCCTTAGCCGATCAGTGCTCTTCTAGGGCTCTGAAGCCCCGAGGAGGCCGGGGCTCAGTGGATGAGTGTGAACTGTACCAGAGCAGCACTGGGTCGGCCAGTGGCCTGCCCAGGGAGAAGTAAATGACCCATGGATTCTCTTTGTCAAAGTCGAGACCCTGCATTTTCTGTGGCCTGGCTCTGTCCACTCCAAGGCAAATGGCTTTTCTTTCAGCAGCCATTCTCTGCCACCTTTTTTCTGAAACTGCCCTTTCCACCTGTCCACATCCTCTGCTCCATCCTCATTGTAGAGACATGGCACGTTGAGTAAGAGAGTAGCCAGGCCTTTGGAATTAGTCCAACCCTGCATCTCCATGTATCCTTTCCTTCCTCTTGCTCCACCAAGTACCTCATCCGGAAGCAAAGTCCCCATAGAGAAGAGGACTTCTTCCCATCTGGACCTGGAACATCCGGCCTGATCCCTTCATATTTCACCCCAGATGTTGACCCCAGAATGTGGTAGTGATGATGATTTTCAGAGAGCTGAGGCCCAAGGAGCACTGTGCAGTCGGAAACTGCCCAGCTTACGCTGCTACTGCGTCAGTGATGCTGGCAGGAGACACGAGTCTCTTGGGTCGGAGACAAAGGACTTCATTACTAATAACAGACAGCAGCATCAGCACGTTTGCATGAATTCCCTGCCCCACACACAGAGGTGGGTGTAGGGTCCCAGATGACACCTGCACATATGGGGGGCTGCATCACGGGACAGAAGCCGGGGCTGAGAGCTCAGCAGGTGAGCAAGAAGCAACAAGCCTGGCTCCCGCACTCCGACCTGCTTCCTCACCTGCGAGGCTGGAGAAGCTGCTGAGCTTCCGGACACAGCCCAGCTGCGCAATGTGCACACTCAGCCAAGGCCTGAGGGAGATCGGGGCCTGGAGCAGGCGCTCTCCCCGCAGGGCCCCTACCCTTTGTAATTCCAAACTTCTCCGCAGAACTACACAAGTCCACGGCCCCTGACATTGAGGGCCACTGGCCTTGTGCTGCTGTTGAAGGCTGCATAAGACACTGCAGGGCGGCAGAAGGGACATGAGCTGTGGCACACAAACCTGCCTCCCTGGGTCTCAACAAAACCACTCAAAGCGCTGTTTCCGTTCCTCATGCTCAGTTACGTGGTTCTCAGTTCCTCTTAGACTGCAACACTGAAAAAGGAACACGACCTACCCTCAATCTGCTGGGAGCCATGAGGAGTCCACACAAACAAAAAAAACAAATCCAATTCACTGAGCAGCTCAAGCTTAGTATGTCCAAGAACACAGTCCTGGTCTTGTTCACACGCTTCTCCCGCAGCTGCCCCTCCACGCGGGGACAGGGCCAGCCTTCCAGCTGCTTGGGATGACCCCCTGGAGTCACACAGACTCTTCCAGCTTCCAACCGTATCCGGCAGCAGCCCTGACCACAGCCTCCCGCCACTCTGCCTTCTCCCGAGGGCTTCCTGGAGGAAAGCAGACTGCGACGCGCCCACCACTTCTCTGTGTCTCTCAACTTGGCCAGTGCTAAAGGCCCTGTCTCGTGAGCTGCAGGGTCCTGTGCATCGCAGCCCAGCTACCCATCTGCTGTGCTCGGAGCATTCTGCACCACCCCCACCCCCCACCCCCGGGCTACACCAGGCCCCCATCCCAGGATGCTGGCCCTGGGCGCTGCGCTCCCCTCTGCTGGAGGTGCTGGGCCCACCTCCGCCCCTCCCTCGGCCCCTGCCTGAGTGCCCTGACCTTTCTCTTCCCCCAGGTCCATGGAAAGCAAAATTCCTCCCCACAAAAACTAACACCTTATGGGCCGGGGATTTAGCTCAGTGGTTCCACCGCCTGCCTCGCAAGTGCAAGGTCCCAAGTTCAATCCCTGGTACCAAAAAAACCACAAAACTAACACCTTAGTAATATTTACTAAGTCCTCACAAGGTGCCAGGCATCCTACACATGTTCTGTCACTCAGACTTCCCAACACCGTCATGAGATAGATACAAACATAAGACTTAGGCCAGGTAGGCAGCAACCTGAGTGTTGCATGCAGGGAAATTCTCTGCAGCTAAATAGTCTGCCAGGAGACAAGACCCGGCCACTGTGAGACACCGGTCACGAAGGCCAACAAGGATCAACCAAGCACTGAGCAAAACTGCAGCTTTTAAATCACTAGGAATCATGGACATGCAGAATGCTAGCAATATTTGGTCCTCATCTCTGAGGAAAGGCAATTTTCTTAGTCTGTTTCATGTTGCTATAATAAATCCCTGGAGGATGGATACTTTTCAAAGAAAAAGGGTTTGCTGAGCTCACGGATCTGGAAGTCTGGGCACAGGACACTGCAGGTGCTTGGCTCCAAATGAGGGCTACACAGAGGTTCAGCTCATGAAGAAGGGGACACAGAGCATGCAGAAGAGCTCACGAGCCAGAGACCAGAGGAGGAGATGGGCTTGCTTTATAATCACAGTCCTGTGAGGTGAGAACTCACTCTGAGAAAAAAGCTTTCACGCCTCTTGAAGGCCCCACCATCTGGCACACCAGAGATCAGGCCTCTCCACACCAGAGGACAGCAGGTCCTGCAGGATCCTGCCTGGCTCTCAGGCTTTCTACCTGCAGAAGGGCCTCCCTGTCTGGCCCCAAGGTTCCTCTCCTGGGTTCAGGCTAATTGGGCTGTTTTCTGCCACTGCACTGACCTTTCTGGAAGGTTCTATGGCTCATCTTCCCACCCCTCTCCGCCGGCCCAGTGTGCTACCTCTGCAACATTGCTGTTGACACCTGACCTGTTCTCCCTGGGGCCTGGTGACCATCTTGGCAGGTGTCACTCTTGGGGAACACAGCTGCCCAGTGTGGGGTCCTCCATCAACAGCTGGTCCTTCCTGTTTGAAAGCTTCAGCCCCAAGGAGAACCAGCAAAGGGGACTTCTGATTCTCCGCTCATTTGCACAACAGGAATGGCACTTGGCCCGGGGGCTCCAGGCCCTGCCTGTGCAGTCCCTGTGAAGGTCACCTCTGGGCCAGGCTGCTGTCTTCCTCATGCTCCCTGAAGAGGCCTCTGCCGGTCACCGCTGCCCCGAAGGAGGACTGTCCTTAGCCTCGACTCTGCAGGCCCTCAGCTGGCACTGAGCATGTCTCCCATCTGTCCTTGGAGTCACAGCTTTCAGCACGGTTGAGTACCACTTGTGCAATGCATTATTTCATGGGTTTTCTTTCATCCAACTCAGTTTTCTTTCTTTTTCTCTGTATTAGCCCCTATGTGCAGTGTGTAATGATGGCATTCCTCGTGGGGAGTTGGGGCATGCACGCACACAGCACATCTTCATTCTTTTCTCATCCTCTCCTCCCCTTTCCCTTTCCCTCTCCCTGCATCTCTTGGTCCTCGTCCCTTTTGGGAAAGATCTCCCTATTTCCTATTATCTACCTTTTATTTAGCTCTTTATTTATGCCTTGGGTTTTTCACATAAGAGAAACCATGTGATATTCAAGCTTGTGCATCTGATGCATTTCTCAAGACGCATCCATTTTCCTGCGAATGACTCAGATTTGTCCTTCTTTATGGCAGAGTAGTGCTCTATGGTAAATAAATACCACACTTTCTTTACTCATTAATGTGTGAATGGACACGAAGGCCACTTCCAGAGAGGCAGTTGCCCTTCCTGCCCTGCTCCTGTTCCATAGGCAGCAACCACGAGATTTCACACGTCCCGCGGTCTGCACCTAAACCCGACTCGCACGCTGTGGGCGGCGCCCGGAGGACACGCGCAGACCACGGGGGCGGGGCTCTTCTAGCCCCGCCTCTCGGCCCTCCCCGCCCAGGCGCAGCTCCCCACCTGCTCAGCAGCCCCATTTGGCATCTCATCGCGAGTCCCTGTCCTCTGAGACTCTTAAGGCGGGGCACAAATTAAGGGACACAGCAATTACCAGTAGATGAACAAAGAGTGTTTTTCCTCCTTAATTTTTAACTGGTAAAGGTGAAAAATCGTGCAGATCCGTACAGTAACACGTGGTGGCTCCAAACACTGTAATATTTAGTCAGGGTTAGTCATCTCCTCAAGCAGCGATCATTTCTTTACGGTGAAAATTGTCAATATATTTTCTTCTGGTTATTTAAAAAACGTCCAGTTCATTATCCTTTTGTGTAGTCTCCTTCCTCCACAATAGCATCCCAAAATGTCTTGCTCTTATTTAACTGCAAGTCAGGGCAGGAATTTAGCTCAGTGGTGCTGCCGCCTGCCTGGCAAGCCCAAGGTCCCAAGTTTGATCCCTGGCACCAAAAAAACAAAAAACAAAAAACACCAATAACTGCAACTTAGTGCACACTGATCATGCACTCCACACCCCAGCCTCTGGTAACCCTTCTTTGACTCTCAACTTCAAGGACTTCAGCTGCCTTAGATTCCACCTGTGACTTACATCATGGGATACTCACCTTTCAGTGGCTGGCTCATTTCACTTAACGTAATGATCCATGCATCATAAATAACAGGACTTTCTCTTTTTCGTGTCTGAATCATATTCTACCAGGCACGTGTACCTCATTCTCTCTCTCCATTCATTACTTGATGGACACCTAAGTTGATTCCATTTCTGAGTAGGTAACATTATGGTGAGGCTTAGGAAGCAATAACCAACCTCTGGGGTTTGAAAATGTTAATTTAAAACAGAATAATGCACCATTCCTGGGGCCCAGAGTTACACTGGCCACTCAGAAGGCAGCTTTCAAGCAGACATGGGGACACCCGCTCCACTCCTGTGCAGTGAGGTGCTTAATGCATGATGGGAGGGCACTGAGAAGGCTCCTCTGCATCCCACATTTCTTGATTCCCCACCCCCCATTATCCCCACAACTCAAAAGTATTGTAAGGCATGAAATTTTAACTTTAATTTAAGGAAAACTCTACTTGTGAACTTTAACAGAACGACACCTTCTCAAGACACCACAACCGAGGAGACAGGACAACGACACTGAGGGAACTGGTCTGCCACTCGCCAGGGCTGGCTGGGGCCATCCTGGGTCTCCATGTGCTGCGTGCATTTTGATTCAGCTCCGGAGCTGCCGTTCTGTCTCTGCTTCTATGAGTTTGACTATTTCAGACATCATATATAAGTGCAGTCCTGTGGTGGAAAACAGAATGGAGGTCCCTGAAAAAAATGTAAAAAAGCCAGGTGTGGTGGGGCACGCCTGTAATCCCAGCACTCGGGAGGCTGAGGCAGGAAGATCACCATGAATGTGAGGCCAGCCTGGGCTACATAGTGAGACCCTATCTCAAACAAACAAAAAAGTGAAATAGCTCTTTTCATTTTTTAAGAAGGGTTTCTTTCCTTGTAGTACTGGCTACACCCCATGCTACTGATGTTGGGATATCGCTCCTAAAACAAAGCACCCTGAAGCCAAGGCCCAGAGCTGTTTTTTTCATTTTTGCCTCAAATTACAGAAAGGAATAGTTTTTAAGACCTGCTGAGGACTTCAGTGTGGGTAGGGAAGATGGAGGGAAAGAGAGGGAAAAAGAGAAATTTTCAAAATTAATTATTGATGGCTACTCAGTGGACCTCTTAACACCTTGAGGCATTTTAAATGCCTGAAAAGGAGACGCTGCTTATAAAAATGCTGTGTATCTTCCCTGCAGGTGGATCAAAGACGAAGACGTTCCGACTCTCCTTCAACCAGGCATTCAGTGCCCAAAGGAAACTGAAACTCGGGGTCAGCCAGCGTCTGCGGCTCTGTTAACACCCCCAGCTCCCGGTGAGCTGAGCTCCCGCTCTGCAACCAGGCACCGAGGGCCGGGCCGCGTCCACCAGGTGGCAATGCAGAACGCGAAGAGCCGCCCCGAGCCCAGCTCCATCTGGCCGGCCAGGAATCCGCAGGAGTGGGCCTGAGAGTGTACTGCTGGCTCCCGGCAGGCTTCCGCCTCTTCTCGGGGCATCCCGGCCTCTACTTCTACCGCGGATAGGCTGGCCTTTAAAATCACTAACATCCTTGACTGGCAGTGCAGCTGAGCGGAGCTGGGGAAGGTCAAAGCCGCGGTGCCCTCTGGATCTATCCAGGAGGTAAGCGGGCCACGAGGCTTCTATCGCGGGCCCCTTCCGGCTAAGACGATTGCTGACGTCTTTCTTGTCCTAGATGTTGTAAAGCCACTGGAAATATTTGGCGGATGTTTTAGTTATCGCTCATCTGGGAAGGATGGTGCTCTCAAACACCCCGGGCAAGCTACTTTCCCCACAAGAGCTAATGCTCCGTATTAAGTTGGAGAAAAATTTAAAATCCTCACAGCCAACGCTTGCTTTTAAAACTGATTTATGGGGTGGGGATTTAGCTCATTGGTTCCGCTGCCTGCCTCGAAAGCACAAGGTCCTGAGTTTGATCCCCCAGTACCAAAAGAAAGAGAAAACTGATTTATATCTCCTTGGATGCCTTATTTTTACTTTTGCTTTATTCAGAGCTGGGGATCGAGCCTAGGATGCTCAACCAGCGAGCTACACCCACACCCCAGCAGCAGTATTTTTTTGGAGTAGGTAAGAAGATATTTATGAGTCATGTTCTTGCGCTACTTATATCGTCATTCATCTGAATTTCTGTGGCTACGCATTACTTTCACAAACAGAAATAGCTGTTTCTGTGATAAAGTGGTGCACAACTGTGAGAGAGAACCCGCGTGTTATTGCGACACAAGAAAGAAAGGTCTTGCGAGTGGGAGGCTGGGGACACACAGCGGTTAAGTGCAGCACGGATTGGCCCTGGACACGAGTTGCTGATTTTGGAAATGCTATTTCTGGATGTAGGTCACTTGAGCACATTCCTATGAATAATTAAGTATCTTTCTTAGGGTGGGAAGATTATCAAGTTGCTCATTATTCCTTTTTGAAAACAATTAGTGAGATGACTGGTAGTTGAGACTTCAGTTGCTAAAAAATAAAACCAGCGAAGTCCGCATATCTAATGTTTTGCCCCCCGGGGGCTGCAGAGCGACTTGATGCTAGTGGCGCCTGTGGGGTTGGAGCCCAAGAAGCCCAAGAAGCCCGGCGGCTCGCTCTCCCGCACCCAGTGGCACCGGGGCACTGGGACGAGCTGTCCCGAGGGCGGGCAAGGCGACGCAGAGGGAGTCTCCGGCGGGCGGCCCTCCCCTTGGCTAGAGCCAGAGAAGCACCGGCCCTGAGGTTGTGCAATGCGCCCTGCCCTGGCAGAGGAAGAGGACGCCTTCCGGTCCTGCACAGAAAGCCAGAAAGCGTGGGCCGCGCGCTGTGCTCCTCCTCCTCCAACTCCCCCCCCTCCCCCCGCCCCGTGGCAGGAGGGAGAGGCACGCAGAAGGCCCCGTGAGGCATCCCGTGAGGCATGAAATCCTGGCCTTGTTACCACTGCTCCCTCAGGCCACGCTCATTGGTGACACTGTCTGTTGCCTTTCGATTCGCATCTTCCCGCAGCTTGGCCGTGTGTTCACTCAACGGATAAAAGCAGCAGTGCCTGCTCATCTTCAGGGGATGCTTACAAAGTGCCCAGGGGATGCTGGAAACCACAGATCTTACCAAACCCTATATATACCATGCTTCTTCCTAAACATACATACCTAAGGTGAGATCAAAATACATGGTGTTTAAATTTTTTACAAATTATTACAGAGAGACATATTCCCATTAATTCCCCTAAAAATCCTCCCCCTTGTTTCAACCACAGGTATCCCATCTCCATGCCACTTTCTGCAGCAGTTCGGGAAGCCTTCTTTCATATCTTTATTAGGTGCAATAAAAAATACGGTAAATGCTGCTGCTGAGGGCCTTCCAGCAGAAAGGCAGGCTCATAAAAACATTCAGTGCGTCCTCAACCATCTTATTCATCACATCTGGCACCCTGAGGCTTCCGGCTCTTCCCCAAAGTCAAAATGACCATGAAAAGGAAACATTTTGAATGGATTCAGGACATCAAGGCAGCCATGAAGATGTAGCTAAAGACACTCGCGAAAGAGGACTTCCAGAAGTGCTTCAGAAAGGGCCGAGAACGATGGGATAAGTGTGTTTGAAGCAAGAGGGATATTTTGAGGAGGATTAATGACCATATGTCTTCACTATAGTTATTTTTTCTTAATTTAAACATTCATTTTATCATGCCTCATGATAAAGTTTAACTTCTAAATTAGGCACGGTAAGAGGTCTGCAGCAATAACTAATAATAAAATAGAGCAACTGTAACAATATGCTGCAGTAAAAGTTGTGTGAATGTGATTCCTCTCTACGCATGTTGCTGTGCCGTGCTTGGCCTCCTGGTGATGCTGTGGGATGACACGGTGCCTCAGTGATGACAGCATCAGCACTACCTGAGGGTGGCTCTAACACAAGCACAGCAGTGTAAGGCAGTTGATTTGGCAACCGCCGGCTCTGCCAAGTAAAGAACAGGAGGGCAGCATAGACCATGTGGAAACACCAAGCAAGGGGATGGGAGAGGGGCAGCCTGTGGTGGACAGGACTGTCCTCATTAGGGCAGAGACAGGCGCCTGCCTGGGAGACATTCAGGCAGGGGCGCCAGCTTCAGAGTGTCCATGAGAAGAAAGGTTTAGGCCAGAGCTAATTGCATTGAGCAAGGTCTCCTAAAGATGGTACTAACATGGGGAAGAAAAGTACAAGGAAAAGAAAGGAAGGCCCAGGCCCCAGTGGAGAGGAATGTCCATCCACCTTTAAGAACAGGAACAGAATGCTGGTTGCGGTGGCCATGATTTAATCCCAGAACTCTGGAGGCTGAGATAGAAACATCCCAAGTTCAAACCCAGCCTGCCTGGGCAACTTAGCAACTTAATGAGACTCTGTGTCAAGATAAAAGATAAAACAAGATCTGGGCTGTAGCTCAGTGCAAAGACCCGGAGTTCAATCTCCCTCCCCCCAAATAGAGTAGGCACAGGAGAGAAGCATGTGTAGCAAGGTCGTTGAAACACCACCAGAGTGTGGCATCCAGCGAGACCCGGGCGGAGTGTGGTCGGTGGGAGGAACGGCCGTATTGAAGCAGTTGGTGCAGGGGAAGCTCTCGACAGCAGCCCAGGGCAGAGCGTTGCGCCTAGAGATGGAATGGCACTTCTCTAGACGTGCTACCCAGCTACCTTCTTTATTTTCCAGGAGGACTTTTAGCCACAGAACTATAAAACTGGCCCGATTGGGAAAATACTTTTTTTCAAAACAGTGAGGTGGCTGGGCTTTCTGTAGTCGCCAGCTCAGCAGGAGCCATGGGTACCATCTTCTCCCTGGCGCCTGCTCATGAACTTGGGCATCCCTCGAGGGACACTCAGGCATCCAGCACTGGGGACCGCGGGGAACCTCTAGGTATTCCTAACCACCTGCGAGCCACCCACCCACCTGTCCATCTCACTTTTTGGATGTGTTTCAAAGTAAGTTCTTTTACATCAGAACATTTCACAGCCAAACACTTTAGCATCCACATTGTAACTAGAGTTTAATATCTGTAGTTGTATCTTCAAGAGATAGTTCCTTTGCTTTCGAGGTAAAATTTTAAAATAGTGAAATGCACAAATCTCAAGTATACTGTCTGAACCTTTTTGGGTATTGTTTTCTTTTTTTTGGTACCGGGGATTGAACTCAGGACCTTGCATTTTCGAGGCAGGCTCAGTGCCACTGAGCTAAATCCCTGGCCCTTAGAAGCTTTTTGACAAATGCATATCCCAACCCCGTCCTACCAGGTGACAGAATATCACATCACCCCAGAGCATGTATCCCCACTGCTTCACCATCAGAGAGGGCAGCGGATGTTAGGAAAGAACCCTGGTTATCTCAGTCTAATTTCTCTTGCTGTTACAAAACACTCAAGCTGGGTAATGTATGAAGAAAAGAGGTTTCTTTTGCTCACAGCTTTGGAGGTTCAGGGGGTTGTGCCACATAGGCCTCGCCCTGGTGAGAACCTCGTGGAAGGTGTCGCCTCAAGCCAGGGGTGTGTGCATGAGGGAGAGGTCACATGGGGATTCCGGAAGCCAGAGAGAGGGGAGGGGTCAGGCTCGCTCTTGTAGAGCAGCCTTCTCTGGGCGCACAGGTGCCTGGAGAGCCCCATGCTCTCCTCCCGGGGCAGCGCCCCCGAGGATCCTGTCGCTTCCCACCCCGAGGACATCGCCCCGCATGGACACTCAAGCTCGGCCCAGACCTCCGCTTCTACCCCGGGGCTCTATCTGATTCACCCACATGTTCGCCAAGCGAGAAGTCAAGACTGAGGTCTTCCTAAAAGTGCTTCTGTAAACATTTCACAGTAAATGCTTTGCCAAGGACAGTGGTGTTCAGTGACCCGAGCCCAGCCTGGGCGTCGTCATTCCTCACTCGGAATCCTGCTCTGCTGGTGCTAAGAAAGTCGCTGGCAGAGTCCCTGACGCGTGGGATGGGACCAGCAGCCACCCGTGTTGCTGCCATGTCAGAGACGTGCAAAACTCGCTGAGTAGCACCGGGGGAAAGGTAAAGACTTCAATAGCGGGGCCCCAGCACTTCGCACTCACCTGGCCACATCACTAAGGGCAGACGGGGGTCACCAGCTTGACCTGGGGGTCCTGCGTGGAGCCCTCTGCCTGCTCAGGTTCGGCACTAGGGTTGGAGCCATGGCGCCAGACCTCGTCTTCCTGGTGAAACACACATCACTGACGGCCCGGAAAAGGCTGGGGTGTGTCTGTTTATTGGTTTTGCTTTGGTCTGTAAGTCTGGGCTCTCAGAGATCAGGCGAGGGGGCAGAGTGTTTGGAATGCAGTAAGGGCTCGGAATCATTTATCCTGCCTGCTGGTGAGGAGCTCGGAGGCAGAGGGTGAGGGGACACTCCAGTGACTTTGGAAGTTGGAGTTAAAGCCTGTTTGAACTCTTTCCAAGCTCCTCGAAGGGCCTACTGACCCCCGCCCGCCAGACTTCCGTTAACTCCTGAGCTTTCCCAGACTCCTTCCAAAGTCCTGATCCTGCTGAATCCACACCTCTTGGTGCCACCCCTGCTGCTCCGTTTGTCTGCTCTAGGCCGACCCAGATACAGAATTCAGCCTTTTGTTTCATCTCCCCAGTCACCTTCCCGAGGCAGTGCCTCTACAGTCTGGTCTCTCTCTGGCTCCTCCCCTCTCCTCTCCTCCTGTGACTGCCCCACCTCCACCTCCGCAGCACCCCACCCCC